TTTTTTAATTATGGGGGTTTAAAAATTGACATTTTGGCCAATTTGGGACAATTATCGCACGGGAGTACGGTCTGTATTTAGACAACCGCGTATTTAGACAACTCAAAGCAAATTTACAAAATAAATATTTATCCGGGTTGACAAAAAATGCTTATCATACAATTTTCATATATGAAAAAAATGCTTATCATACTCTTTCTTATAATTTCATAGAGCAAAATAAGTGTATGAAATTAGCAAAATAAACATTGTTTCCATGATATGAAATTGTATGATAAGCAATTTTTCCACATTTGATATTGTATGACAAGCATTTTTTCCATAAATGAAAATATAAAAAATTTTTGTTTCAAAATTTTGTGTTCCAACCGAAACAATAACCAAGGATTTTTTGTCATAAGAAATCTCAGAGTGTACTGGCAATTGCCACGCAGTTCAACTGCAATTGGTGAATTTAGCCACAAAAGTTAATTATAAAATTTTCACATGGAATTATATACCAAAAAAGTAACTTTTTGAATATGGCTAGATAGTTTTTAGTTTGAAAATTTTGGTGGTTGTGAAAAAAGGTCTGTTTTTTTTTGCAAATTTATTTTTATCTTAGCAAATATAACAAAAGATAATAATTGTGTTTACAAAAAAAAATACTTTCTTGTGATTTTTGAGTTTTTGGGTGAAAAACTCATCCTGGAATACGTTATAAACACAAAAGTCAAGTTTTGCATGCATACAAAAACGAATTTGCAACCAAAAAAGGGATTAAAAACTTTTTACCTCAAATTTTTGTTTTTGCTTATGAAAAAAATGCGTACCATACAATTTTTATATAAGAAAACTTTATGATAAGCATTTTTCTGACCGAAATTATGATTAGTTTTTGATTGTCAAAATGCCCTCTATAATAGATAAAATTATTTAAATTTATTTAAAGTTACCCACCATTTTTTTTGGTGATTTTTGAAAATTTTCTATTTTCTATGACAAAATGACTATTTTATAAATTTCATACATGAAAATTATATGATCTTTTTTTAATGACCAGTAAGCTTCAAAAGAGGCAATTAGACCAGAAATGTTCATTAAAAGTTTTTAAAATACTTTTTAAATTTTGTATGAGTTTTCTATGTTAAGCATTTTTTCCATAGACTTCATATATGAAATTGTATGATAAGCAGTTTCCTTCTATTAACGTCAACCCGGGTATTAAATATTTATTTCTTCCTTGTCTCGATTCTGATTGGTTAATACAGTATTTGTCTAAATACTGACGAGTCTGAATACGCGGTTGTCTAAATACTGCTAATGTCGCGCTATTAACGTAAGCGGAGATTTGATCCGCCTTAGAAATAGTTCCAAGAAGCTTAGTTGCCATAATTGGTTAGTTACTAGTTGCAAAATCGGATCATGTTAATTATACCCCCCCCCCTATGGTACCTTGTACCTCCCCCCTATGAAAACACATTTCATTTATGCTCAACTGGATTGGTTTTGTATTTCTCAGAAATGTGTTCTGTCGCATTCCTGTTGGTTGACGTCATTTCAATTCGCATTCCTATTACTACTACTACTACTACTACCAAAAGAATTTATTCCCTTTAAAATATGAAGGCATCAAACAAAAGAAACGGTATGATTATGTACACAAGACATCACGAACGGCAATTTATGCAATGGCAACAAAGTAGCATTGAACAAGAGTTGTTTAAGTTGAACATATCAATTCTATTTTTCAGATAGATTTTCAATTTTGCTTTGAAAATTTAAGGCGATGAGAAAATGTCGGCTATGTTGTTTGCTGAAATCATGTTGGCATACCGACAGACGCGATAGAAGAAAAATTGCTCTGTAAAGAAGAGTCGACAATTCTGGGTTGTTGAAAGCTTAGGGCGTGAGCTATTGCGAAGGTCTTTGGCTGCAAAGGTAAAATTTATGTATCTGTAAAGGTCGAAATCAAATTGATCAGTCAGGACTCGATTAAGAAAACACATATCATCTAAAGCTATATTGAAGGAAATTGGCAAGGAATTCGTTTTTCTAAGTTGTTCTGTATAGTCGTTCACTCCCGTTACCCATTTCAAACATTTTCTGTTAAATATTTCTAGTTTGCGGCGATATGTTAAAGATGGAAACCAGACCTGACTACCGTATAATAAAATACTCATAATACATAGCTGGTAATATTTGAATTTGGTTCTCATGGATACTCCATAAGGGATTGAACGTTTTAAGAAATGGAAAGCTTTGTTAACTGCGACCAGTTTGGTTTTAATGTGGATATCCCACTTTAAATCACTAGATATCGTTACTCCGAGATCTTTGATAGATGAAACTGACGGAATTAGGTAATCATTAAGGCAAAGAGTAGATTTGGGGGAAGTTGAGTTAAAACAAATAACTTTGCATTTATCAGAATTAAATGTCATTTCGTTTTCAAGCGTCCAATTTATAAATAGATCAATGTCTATTTGAACTAACGAAAAGTCATATTTTGAATAGAGTTTGCTGTCATCAGCAAACAGAAAGCAATTATAGGTTTTCAAGACAGCTGACATGTCATTAATGAAGAGTATAAATAGCAAAGGGCCGAGTACACTTCCTTGCGGAACACCACTTGTTACATGGCCTTTTGGAAATGCTTCATTGTTAATTAAGACAACTTGCGTGCGGTTTGTGAGATAGGAAGCAAAAAGTTCAAGAAAGCTAATGTCAAAGCCTAAATTACCAAGTTTAGAAATAAGTATATGATGAGGAACTTGATCAAAAGCCTTGCGAAAATCGAAGTACACAGAAAGACATTCGTTTTTTGCCTCGACTTCGTTATAAATCTGATCTATGTATTCAAGAATCTGAGTAACAGTCGATCGCTTGGTCATAAAACCATGTTGAGCAGGTGTAACTTTAGCCCGAATTTTAGGATAAATGAAATCGAAGATCATTCTCTCCAGAATAATCAATAATTGAGGCAATATGCTAATCGGGCGATAATTTTCAACATTTTCGGGATTACTAGATTTAAGAATTGGCGTAATAAACGCACATTTCCAAAGTTCTGGCCACGTTTTAGTTTCCAAAACCTTGACAAAGAGCTGCACGACTAGAGGAGATATTAATTCACTGCAGCAGTTAAGAATAAAGGTTGGGAGGCGGTCGTTGGTAATACAAGAAGTTTTAGCAAATTCGAGAGCTTTCTCGACCTTTTTAAGGTTGACATGGAGATCGGATAGAAAAATGGTGGGTTTTTCGGGTTGTAGGATTTGAATTTCGTGCTTTTCTAGAAACACTGAACAGAAGTAATCGTTCAAAAGAATGGCTATTTCAATAGAAGTGGATGCTTTTATATTCATCCAGTGCATTTGGTTTGGTAGTTTCTTTTTGGTAAAAGATCGAAGGTATTTAAAGCAATCACGGGTAGAATTTGGTCTTAAAGATTCAAGGAGACAAGTTTTATCCAACTCAATTGAATTGTTAAGGTCTTGTTGGATCGAAGCTAAATGATTTGTGTTGGCTGTCCGTTTAGATATGGAATGGTGCTTATTCAGTAAATGAACTGTATGCGACGAATAATAATAGGGAAGTTGCTGGCGTCTTTTAGTTTTATGTGCGCATGATAAAAGAACTGCATGATTGATCTGAGCGTACCAGCTATCTACATAATCATTAGTGATGGATATGGAATAACATGAGTTTTGTTCCACAATGAGTTTGGTAAAGCAAGGGCTGATGTTACTATTGAAGATCTAATGAGAGAAAGATGATTTGGATAGAGAGGATTTCATAAAATTCCCAATCACAGTAGGCGCTGCTTCAGGAATGGTAAAAAAACAAATAAAGGAAAATGGTCTGAGTAAAGCACTTCATTTACAAATGCAGTGAACAATTCTGTGTGCGAAGTTAAAATGATATCAAGAGTGTTGCCTGAGCGATGTGTGGGTTCATATATAAGGGGCATTAAGCTATGATCCTCAATAACCTCTAGGAACAGTTTTGAGTAATCCCGAAAATTGAGTAATCCTCAATAACCTCTATTGGTTGACGTTATTACAATAAATTTCATCCAAACCTTGTTAACCATTCCCCTCCCCCTATTGGAATAGTTAAGATGATCCGGGGAATAGTTAACATGATCCGCGAAATCTATCACTTTGTACTTAATTTGGCGGGTGAGTGGGTGATTTTCACAAAAAAAAATTAAAATTTTTTTTTCGTTCTATTTTATTTGATTGAATTTTTTCATGTTATTACTGCTCCATAGACCTTAAATGGCAGTCTGATTATTCAGGGATTCGCTCTGACGAGCAGTCTCGGGGTGCCGGACATCAAGCCGACGGGACTTCAAGCCGAATTGTAAAATTAGGGACTTCAAGCCGAATAATTCTTTATAAAGTCGTGAAATATAAACAATTTGAAAACTTTTTTGATAAATTTCTGAATTTCATGATCTTTCTTCACTAGTTATTGGCGTTTGCATATAATTTAAGCCTCCAAATGATATTTTTCATGTTTATAATTTATGCATTTCAAAAACCGGCTGATGTTATTAACGGATGCGAATCACACGTGGTGCATTGTCATGAATAACGCTTATTATGGACTAAACTTGCCAAAATTTTAGAAAAGTATCATTTTTCAGATGATAAAATAGCATTTTGGGGTGCTTGTAAAGTTTTAATTTCGGCTTGAATTCCCTTCGGCTTGAAGTCCCGTCGGCTTGTTGTCCTAGACCCGCAGTCTCGTTGCAGTTGTTGACGCTTAATTGATCTCGAACCAACTGGAAATCGCCGGACGGAAATTTAATAATTTAGAACTGACAACATATGCCGCCATGTCATTTCTGCTGTTAAAAACTCTAGAAGCCATTGTTGAGACAATTGCTATTTTTTATGCTTTCAATACGCTTGAACTCAAATTATTTTAAATGATTAAATATGGTCATTATTGACAATGGTTTTTGTTGGATGGCCTTATTGGTTAGTGCACACATGACAAGCTCGGATTGGCATGGTAAACAATGAGACAGCACCACATGTTTATAGTCTATATATAGTGGCGGTTTTAATTGTGGACTAATTGGCGGCCATTTTACTAATTTGTGGTATATTTGGTTACCGCACTATATACCAAGAAACCTCATTTATTTTGGTACAAGACGCTTTGAAAACATAAGGTTACTATTGTGACATTTTGCCAAAACTGTGTTCAATAGAAAATTGGCGATGCGATGGCTTGCAAATACTTCTTCAATTAAAATATGTGCGATATGCCATTCTTAAGAGTCATGTTTATTCGAAAAAAAATTGTTATGAGATAAAAGAGTCCTGTTTTGATACCTGTTCTAATCTATCATGGTCCAAAATTTAGTCGTGTTTAATATTTTGTAGTCGAAGCCGACGCATTTTATTTTTACCTGTTCATTGTTACATGTTAAAACAAGCGATTAAAACCTGACGCAAGTTATAAGAACAGAACTATGCTCGTTGCTAGACTTAATCTTCGTCATTAACTCCAAACCTACCAAATTCTCGCAAACCAAATCAGACTATGCTACCATAGTTTTAGACATCAGTTACATATGCTACAACAGCAAAACTTGCTATATTGAGTTTGGATACCATCTCTGCGCAAAATTATACCTCAATTTTTAAACTTGGTATACGTCTAAGTGTAACGCGCATTTTCTCTGCATTTAGAACTTTACACTGTCTATTGTTAAAAAATACTTCTAGCTCTTTTCTGCAGTTTGTTCAGGCTTTGATAAATTACATCGAATTACTAAAGCTTCAAGCTACAATGATTTTGATTATTATAATATTTCTTTGAAACTAAATTTAAACCATTTGAAAAAATGTCCGGAAACTACGAAATTGTTAAAACTGACAAAGAAAAATATGTCAACTACAAAGTCTACGTCAGATCCAGCAATGAGACTTGGTTTGTGGTGCGGCGCTACAAGGAGTTCCGTACAATGTACGACAGACTCAAAAAGATTTACCCAGATGCTGGCCTTGTAATTCCTCCGAAGAAAGTTTTCGGAAACTTCAGCCAGAAAACTATAAATGAGCGAGTCAACGGACTTAACAATTTGGTAAGCAAGATCATTGTTACTCCCGGAGCTTTGAGCGAACCATGCGTGGTAGAATTTTTCAACACGAGAAGTTTCCCGGGGATGGGTGAGGAAACCGACGACGACCAACAACCCCAGTCGGACGACACGGACCCGAACAGAGACCGCCACGAGGGTAGTTCCTTCTACGGAACAAAAGCCACTCCGAACGACTTCGAGTTTAAAACAGTGATCGGGAAAGGAAGTTTCGGAAGAGTTTACTTGGCAAAACACAAGGAATCAGGCAGACACTACGCCGTTAAGGTATTGCACCATTTTAAAAAGCCGTTCTTTGTCGCCACAGATTGAACGTTCGATTCCTGATGATTCAAGTGGGTCCCTAAAAAGCAAGTGAGAAATATGAGCCCGATATTTTTTATGAAAGTCCCAAAAACTTAACTTAACTATACTGCAAAAGCTCTCCGAATATTTTAAGGCATATAAAACAATTCTCTAGGGAAACTTAAAAGAGTTCTATGATGACAAAGAACATGTAAGCTAAGCAAAAAAACTTTGATTAGAACAAACTACGGCTTTTAGCATGATTGTTTTAGACACCTTAAGAGCGCGAGGTTTGTAAGGTATGATGTGTTCAAAATCAGAAGAAAGATCACTTTTTATGTTTCCATGAATTTTCGAGTATTCTTACCACAGAAACCATTTCTTTTTACATTTCCACGAAAAATCATATGAATATTTCAGGTTTTGCAGAAAAGTAAATTGAGGTCGGACAGAGAGAAGCGACACTTGATGAGCGAAAGGAACGTCCTTGTGAACAACCTCGAACACTCCTTCCTGGTCTCCCTCCACTACTCCTTCCAGACCCCGGCCAAGTTGTTCTTCGTGCTGGACTTCGTCAATGGAGGCGAGTTGTTCTACCACCTTCAGCGGGACAGAAACTTCACAGAAGAGCGGGCCAAATTCTACGCAGCGGAGATCGCATGCGCATTGGGATATCTACATTCGAGGAATATTCTATACAGGTTCGTTGACTTCATTGTCAAAACAATGCTGATATTTCTATAGCGGATGGCCTTCATTTCATAACTAAAGCGAAAATGTTGGCAAAATTGGTGATCTTGAACATCTTCATTGGTCAAAAATATCTTACTCTTAGCTTCATCTTAACTTTTGCTGAAACTATGTTTCCTCAGTTTTATTGTCACTTAAATAGCCAGCATTGCTTTAATTTTTAAAGCTGTTTTATTAAAATTATTTTGGATAGTAATTTTGGTAGTAAAAATCAGTATTTTTTTAGAGACATGAAACCCGAGAACTTGTTGTTGGATCGAATGGGTCACGTGGTCATTACTGACTTCGGACTGGCGAAGGACAGGATGGACGAGTTGCCAGGTCGGATGACGCAGACCTTCTGTGGCACCCCCGAGTACCTGGCTCCCGAGGTGCTTCTGAAGCAGCCCTACTCGTATGCTGTCGACTGGTGGTGTCTCGGATGTGTGCTCTATGAAATGATATTCGGAGTGCCTCCCTTCTACCACAAGTGAGTTTTTCCTATTAGTCATCACAATAATAATGATTGTGGTTTCTGCCATTCGCCGAAGGATCTGTGAAAGGCTATCCAGCCTGTCTAAGGATAGTCCGTTTCTCTAATCCGCTTCTCTAATAGTGACAGTTGCGAGCAAAGTCTCATATATACAAGAGTAGGCGATTGTATTGTACCTAGCACTGAATGTTCCGCGACCACAATTATCACTGCACAAAAAAAAAACATTAAAAGAAACTGTGGGAATTGAAAATAAAGAGTTTATCTTTTAAGTGAAGGTTGACTTATTTGCAACATTCCATTTTTGCTTAATTTTTTTTTGAAAATGTTATTTTTTTTTGCATAGGCTAGGAAACGGGGCAGTACAACAGTGCGGAAGTACAACAGTGCCGAAAATGAAAAAGTGTTCAACAGTGCCGAAAATTGATGATTTTCGGTACTGTTGAACAATAAATTTATTTTCGGCACTGTTGAACACTTTTTCATTTTCGGCACTGTTGTACTTCCGCAGTGTTGAACGCCCTCTCAGAAACTGATAAGCTAGTAACTAAATAGTAACTAACTAATAGTTAGCTAGTAAGCTAGTAACTAAAACAAAATAGCATCAAAAATCTGACAACAAAAGTAACACATTGCCTTAACATTTGAATGATCTTATTTGAAATGCTTTAAGTAAATTCAAATACTAAGTAAACCTAATTGTTGTTTTCTATAAATTATTTGCTTGTGAGGCAGAAGCAGCTTATCAGGGACGTTAAAATGTTATTATTACACCTAACGATGCTGTCACATCAATACTTGAATTGTTTAAAGGGGGGTTGGTTGCAATTTATTTCCCTCTTGGGTTAATGGTCTCATTTCTGAGAATATTTATGTGTATGCCTTGTAGTAACGATGTCAAACGCATCGCTCTTCTATCTTTGAATTATGACTGTTTGTTATCATAACTGTTTACTCATGTATTACTAACTGCTGACAAAAATTGACCCGAACTGACTGAACAAATCCCAATGGAGGAAACTGAAATTTGTGTTCACAGAGATCACGTGGCGATGTACGAAGCGATCAAAAAACAAGTCGTCAACTTCAACCGCCGCAACGTTCGACTGTCAGGCGCCGGACGGGATCTGTTGTCGCAAATGCTGGCCAAAGACCAGTTCAAGCGAATCGGAATCGAAAACGACTTGAAGGATCTTGAGAATCATGAGTTCTTCCAATCACTCGACTTTGCAAAACTTGAAAAGCGAGAAATTGAGGCGCCATTTGTTCCAAGCGCCGACGGCGACCAAGACACGAGTAATATAGACGAAGGATTTTTAAATATTCCAATTACCAATTCTATTGAGAACGCGGGAAGCACATCCGTCTTGGTTACCGAGAATGACAGCCGGGGTTTCGTAGGGTTCACTTACGTTCGGCCGATGGACTATCTCGACTGATTATCTCAATTTGAAATTGAACTAACTGAAGATGAATGAACTAATTACTAAAATGACTTATGATTAGTGTTATCGTTTGACGATGATACTCTTTTTCAATTACAACTCTTTGTAGCTCAACTAGATTTGTTCTTAACTAAAATTTATTCAATTGTGTCTAATTAAAAAAGGCTCATAATGAAGGGTTCAGTTAAGAGATTATCAAAGTCACGGAATGCTTGGAAGACAGTTTTAGACGACAGAAAAAAAAATACTAAAAAAATTAAGCAGTGATAGCATTAATTAGGTTATAGCACCTTTTTACTTGTCCACTCACTACTGAAAGTGTTCCGAAAACCGCAAAAATTAAAAAAAAAACGCAATTTGAGAGAGCTATGAACACTAAAATTTTCCCTCAAAAATGTAACTGCTCAAATATATATTTATTATTTTAGAGTCACAAGCAAACGTCATCACAGAGTGTTGATGGAACCATTAGTTTTCGAGGGCAGGGGTAAACGAAAAAAAATGTCCAAAACGGGTGAACATTTCATACGCAGTCTATTGATGCGGAACCCACTTGAGCGCCTTGGAAGTCGGGGAGGTGTCGGGGAGCTGAAACGTCACCGGTTTTTTCTAGACATCGACTTCAGAAGCATCTTAAGCAAAACCTTTGATCCGCCCTGGATCCCCGACTTCGAACAATCAGGTGAAGACGAGACGAGGTTCATATCGAAAGAGTTTCTCGGAAAGAGAGGGTCCATGGTGGATCCGCCTCCTGCTTTTGAAGCGTGTCTTTATAATGAGTTCGAAGGTTTCAGCTGGGAGTACCAACTATCGCCTATTGAAATGACAGTGCGTCTTCCCCCGCCGGATAATAAAGCAAACAAGTACGAGCTATCACTAGAAAGTTCCAGCAATTCTTTGTTGTAAAAATACAGCAATCAGAAAGCGCTGCAATGAACAAAAAAAACATTATAAATTTATTTTCATTTCGGTGCCCCAAAACTCCGCCACATGCTGCAATAATTTGAAATTGAACTAAGCTTTCGTAGAAAATAATTTTTAGTTTATTTAGTAACATGGCTGCAATAATTTGAAATTGAACTAAACTTTCGTATAAAATAATTTTTAGTTTATTTAGTAACACTGATCATTTACATAAGGTTTGTATTTTGTTTCCTGAGAATAGTTAAGATTATAATGTCTTTGAGAAGAATGGAGAAAAGTGAGTATCGTGTCTAATATAGATATTTTACGACCATTTTAAGAGAAGTAGCAATGGCGTAGTGCAGGTTAGGCTCGGTATGTTTGACGGACTCGACTCAAGCTGTTTGTTTCGACTATGTTGGACCAAGTCACGCTCATAGTGAGTTAAATATGCTACAATGTTCAAGCTTTTTCTGTCTTGTTTCGGATTCTAAAAAAATCTCGTGTTGAAAAAAAACTGGTATAAACATTTTTTTTTCGGTATAAAGTACATAATCTAAATTTGCTGAGCTTCAACCCATGTTGGGACTTAGGAAACAAGAAAAATTAGAAAAAATCTAGAAAAGGTTTTGTTTTGCAGGTTGAGTTGTTTGGTTTATATTTCGAGCGACTGGCCCAAAAAAAGGCTATGTGACCTTCGGCTCGACCAAAACTGGTTATATTTAAGAAAAGTAAAATATGTTTGACTCGAGCATACTGTGTTTCGACCGACTTGACCCAAACTAGTGATATTTGAACAGACTAGTCTGAAGAAAAAATATCTGTCATAGTGTTTGCCTCTAGTCTGTGATTGACTCTAACTTGCTATGTTTTGTCTGATTTGGAAGAAAAGGTATTCGACAGTGCTTGATTCAATTAAGACATTCTTCGGCCAAAGAAAACGCGTGCGCGTCATTGTTAGACTCAGGCATTTTATGCGTTGATCGACTCTGGCTGACTGATCGACTCATGGAGAGTTAAGTATACTACCACTGTCAAACTCTTTGTCTTGATGAACTGGTTGAGAAAAACTGCTCTTAACTTTTAGTTTTCAAGTCCTAGGAATTTGCTGATCTGACAGAATAAATCAAACAGAACAGAATAAACTGGTTGCTTCTGATAACCAAGTAGTAAATTGAGCTGAGCAAAAACTCTGAAACATCACATACAGCCCTATTTTTTGAGATCGACTAAGTTTATCTCTGGGTTCGCCAAAATTTCGACACAGCATTTGATTTTTTTGACCGTCAATACTTTTTTGTGTCCGTCTATAGTTCGACATATCGTTGCATCTACAGTGCGAATTTAATTTATCCAGACAAAGCAAAAAATTAATTGAAATTCACTATGCATTTTTTTGTTCCGACTTTCGTAGAAAGTTTGGAATAACTATGCTTGGTGTGGTTTTTCATTGTCACTTTTCGACATGTTAACTAAGCGTTTTTGACGAAACTTTTTTTGCCATCTTGAAGATTTTCTCAAATTAAAAAAAATCACGTGTGATCTTTTTTTGTAAGTAGAGTTTGAAAAATGTTAGTTTGGCCAATATGGGATAACTTTAATGCGATATATTGCGTACATATGACACGCTTATAAAGCAAATTAATGCTTTCCAAATTGAATTGAGGCCACCAATTTAATCCTATTATCACAATACGAGACGCTGAAAGGCAGTCTGAACATTCAGGGCTTTGCCTTGATACGAGCAGTTTTGTTTTAATTTCAAATTGGTTTGTTTTTTGACAAAAAGTGATGCGACGAAATTTGCATTGAATTTCAACAAAATTATCATAGTACTCTTTAATTCGCAAAGTTCAAGCTTTTTAATGAATAGTAAATAACTCCCAAAATACCAAATAAATTGCTGAAAATGAATCAAACTATACTAAAGAGCTTACTATTTGGTCTTAAAAAGTTTAAAAATTTCTGTCTAAAGGTTAGGGTATTATTTCTAAAAGTGCCACCAAAATGTTTCAAAATTGTTTTCAATTCAAAATTGGTATATTAAATAGTAGCTATGACGTTTTTTTACCTCGTAAAAAATAAATTAACTGACAAGAAAACTAAAATGATATATGCTTCTGTTAGTAATTAATCTATTAGTATTTAATTTACTTTTGTTCAACAGCCAAAAAAATAAAAAAATTACTAATTAAAGTACCATTTTTTTGCAAACAATTTTGGCACGTTTTGCTCAAATTTTTTTTTAGAGATTATGCCCTTAAAATAGTTTGTAGGGCTCCATAAGGAGCTCATTTTAAGATAATTGTGTCAGCAATTGATTCGGTAAATCTAAGGTAAGGATCAATTTTGGGGTAAAAATTTCGAGCCCGAATTTTGCTTTTTAAATTGAACCGCATAATATTTCGTCTAAAAATCTCACCAATTTTTCGTAAAGTCGACTCATTGGTTTTTGTCTCATCGTTTTTTTGAAAACTGACCCAATCTGAGAAAAATTTTAATTAAATTTCAAGTTTTGTTTGTTTCGCCGGGATGAACAAAATCAGCGCTGCAGTATTCAAGTATGGTTTGAATTTATGTTCGACATTGTTTCGAAAAGCACTCGACAGAAAATTTGATCTTGACTAGAAAATTGTCATGACTCAAAACTTTCAATCATTCTTGACTACGAATTTATCAAACATTGTCCCTGTGCTCAGCCAATTCGATCAGAATATATGTCAAGCACATTCACTCGGGGAGCGGTGGTGAAGTAATTACGTGTCCGCCTCTCAATCGAAAGGTCAGACAGATGTACGAGGCTAACCATGATCCGCGCTCGTTGCTTGCGGGCGAGGCAACATTGGTGAGGAAAAATGACAAAAAATTGCATTTAGTACTTAAATTAGGAGCACAGCAGCAGTTTGCCGTGATAACCTGTACAGCTCGTATATTGGTCCTTTCCGTCGTGGATAAAAGGTCTTAATTTAACTTATTTCGGGTTATTATGTCAAATATCGATATTATTTTTATTTTCGAATAATGATGGTTTTAACTTTCTGAGCTAAATGACTAGCCGTCTACACACTTGTTTTACAACGAAATGAAATAGCTTTGAGATAATAGATTTTTCGATCCAATTGGAAATTCATCACATTCAGTTTTTTTGAGAAATATAAAAACAAATTAATTCGTCATAACGCAAACAGGTGAAGAGTTGCTTCAACAATTTCAATCGGATCTATAGAATAAAATCATAAATTCTCAGTGGGCGGTGGCGGTGGCGGTGGCGGTTATCGTATAAAATTGAACTAAAATCACTGAATCCAGTGAGACAATTCCACTGAGCAAAATAAATTTTTTTCTTTTCAGCTTTTTTAACAACTTGAAAAAGATAATGGATTTTTTCAAAAAAAAAAAATTGGTACGTTTAGTGACATGATTTTTTTGTTTGAAAATGTCGCTCACTGTAATTTGCAAATTTGATAGAACAGAGGTGCGCTGGAAAAATTTTATCTCATTGATATTTATCCAGATTTCTGTAAGCTTCGTTTGCTAAATCTCTCGTAGTTAAATTGTACAGGTGGATTGTTCTTCTAAAACAAAAACTTGAAAACTGGCAACAAAATTGCAACATACAGATGCCTCAAAGCTTCTTTTGAAATATAACAGATTCTTATCCATCGGGCTTCATATGGCTGATAACCCAAAATCCGGTAAACAGTTGTTTCTAGAATCTACTCTGATATCGTCTTCGCGGAAGTTTTCTCGAAGTCCACGTAATCTGCGCAGATTGCTCAAAGTTTTCAAATTTTAGAAGTTTTTCAAAAGATGACTGTTGATGTATTTGTAATTTTTCCAGCATAAACCTCTCAGTTTTTTGCGATTTTATGTACCAATCTGTTCCTATGGTCGTAAGAACGATTGTTGAGACTACGACAAAATTGACTCCTCAAAAACAGAATAACAGAAAACAATGAAATCAATTCTCTTTAAACTAAACACTATAAAATCATTCATTTTCAGCGACAGTTAAATTATTGATAAAACATATGCTGATATATTGTTTGCGTCCATCTATGTATTAAACGAATTAAGTTTTTTTCGTACTCATAACTCACAATGGCTGGGAAATACAACGATGACAACGTTAAAGAGGCGGTTTAGCAACAATTTTCTAGAACTTTGAAAAAGTCTCCCGTCTGGAAAATTCTAGATTTCAGTGTGAAAAAAAAACACTTTTTTAAGCAAGATGATCGCGGTTCAACTTCAAAGCTGAACAGTACTTGTCCGACTTTTGACCCCAAATTTAGCGGTTGCCTTTTTATTTTAGTCTGAAATAAGCCAACCAAATAAGCAACATTTTTTGTCTAGAAAAATTAAAAATTCGCGAACCAATTTCCTCTTTGACTAACTTGGAATTGTTAAAAATTTCATAACTTTAACAGCTTGCTTCTAAAAACCCAATTTTTTGTCGAGAAAGGATTAGCCCTATAAAACAATGATTAGCGCTATAACAAGATTAGCTCTGTAGGTTTGATTCACTCCACAAAAAAAAATTAATAATTTCAAAAAGTTGCTTTGAAAAAATTATTCTTTTTTTGTTCTAAGATAGTCAAAACTAATTTTTTTTACAGATCTTTTCCAAAAACTAAGTAAAATACTTCAAAGTTTTGTTGCTCAAATAGATTGCTTAGAAAAATTATTTCGTTCTGCGGAATATAGATTACCGCTTGATATTGAAGCAAAAAGTCCAAGCTATGAAAACTTCCTCAATATACTTCAAAGATTAAGCACTTCATTTGCTTGCTTCAATAACTTTAACTTTATGCAAGCCAATTTGCGTTATGCGAAAAAAAGCTTTTTTAGTTTCACCGCTTCAATAGCCTGCCAGGAAAACTTGATTTTTTCGCTATTTTGAAAAATCGCAAATTTTGTTTTTTGATTAACATGCTTGAAAAAATGCATCTTTTTTCAAAGCAATCACAGCTACAAAAAAAACTGCGAAATGATTCAACGTGTCCTCGCGTCCATAGATTGCCTGAAACTTGAACTTTGTTCCAAAACAATTCTCGCTATAAAATGATCTTTGAATTATAATAATGAAAATTTTTTGTAACTTGCGTAAATCTTTGATACTTTTTCCAAATTTATCCAAGCTGCAAAAAAAAACTGAAAAATTTTGAGTTTCTTTGCATCCATAGCTTGCTC